AGAGAGAGAGAGAGAGAGAGAGAGAGAGAGAGAGAGAGAGAGAGAGAGAGAGAGAGAGAGAGAGCACTTCACCCCACCCCACCCCAGCACACAGATCCCTCGACACGGTGTACCCAACCGCACTCACCCTGTACCCTCCAACCACACTCACCCTACACTCCGTGTGGACACTGCAGGCCAGGAAAATATGTCTTGCCGCCTCTTGTTTTAAATACGGTCTTGTTGGGCATCATCGCTAATGCCAATGATGATTGTTCGCCTTCTTTGTTGAACAGGGGCATTGCCATCCTGCCGTGATGAAGGCCTTGGTTGATCAGGCTCAGCGACTGACACTCAGCTCCAGGGCATTTCACAATGATCAGTTCCCGGTCTTCGCCAAAATGTTGACAGACACGTTCGGGTACGACATGGTGCTTCCCATGAACACTGGAGCAGAAGGAGTGGAGACTGCACTTAAGCTTGCCCGGAAATGGGGATATGAGAAGAAAGGCATCCCCAACGACGAGGTAGGTTATCTAAACTTAGTAAACTAGCTGTTTTTTTTTTTTKTTTTTTTTTTTTTTTTTCTCTCTTCGCGTTTTGTTTTTTTAGCTGTGTTTTTTCTAAGTGTGTCTTTGGAAACGAAAGAAAAACATTAAAAAAAGAAAAAAGGCATGGCCTTGTGCAGGCTTGTGGTGAAGGCCCCATTCTACTGTGGGAAACTCCAGTCCAGTCTGTTTTGCAGGACCCGAATGGCTCGTAGCGCCACCCAAAAGAAGAAAAAGTGCTGCACTGGCGCTTCGGCGAAGCTTGGAGCACAGTTCTTCTCCGCCTTTGGCAAAACAAAGCTCGGAGGGAGTGATGGTTTAATGGTAAAAGCTCAAAAAAAGAAAGAAAAAAAAAAAATTGTACACATATTTAGGCTGGCTGGGAAGCGCAGGCCTTCACTCCAACATGATATATGTCAGGCCCGAATGTCTGGCAGCGCCAGCAAAAAGAAAGAAAAAGTGCCGCACTGGCGCTTCAGCAAAGCTTGGAGCGCAGTTCTTCTCCGCCTCCGAGTCGGCAAAACGAGGCTCACAGAGGCAGTGATGTTTTAATGTTAACGCCCCAAATAAAATAAAAATAAAAAAATTGTACACATATCTAGGCTGGGAAGCACAGGCCTTTACTCCAACATGATATAATCATATACCACCTCGCCCTTGGTTTTTCTGATGTGAACAGAACCGCCCTTCCCTTCGCTTTTGAAACACTCAGAGGCAAAAGTGATATCCGTTAATTAAAACTAGTTTGACAATGTTCTAATCTACTCCTTTCTCTCCCGTCTACTGATGTCGCCTCTGGGTCATGGCCATACTTTGAGGCATTCTTTTCGCAACAGTATAATGGAATAGACAGATGAAGAAGAAGATGTCCTGACTCCTGAGTTTTAATATCATGGCGAAAAACTTCTTCCCGTCAATACCTCGATTTCCTCGCCCTTTCTTTGAGGCATTCCGTTGATCGTGTCCTTGCTGAAGGCGCAGCCAATAGTCGAAAACCAGGAGCGGACACCTTTGCTTCGGCAGTCCCCCCATAACCATAACTCCCTGTAGAAAGTCTTTTTTTCCCGAGAGACTCGGCTCCCTTTTAAAATGAGCCTACAATGCCCTTCATTTTGTAATTTGCAGGCGAACACTGGGCTCTTGACTCGGTTTCCATCCTTTCCTTAGTCAATTATAGCGGATTATCGTCTGGACTCGTAGGTTTGTCGTTCGCTGCATCCCCCTAAGGCTTGCACATGGAACATAGGACAGCCCGTCAGACAGAGTGTGAAAAAAAGTGAGCTTGATGAGTGTCTGATGTCTTGCTTTGTTGTACGTTCCTATGCCTGACTGCGTTGGACATAACACTCCTAAGTTAGTCCTTCCCCCCCGTCACTCCTCTTTTGAAGTCCGGTTTCTTTTTGTCCTCCGGGACATCCGTTAATTGGAATGATACAGAGAAGAGCGATTAGCATGACCCCTGGGCAAGGATGACACACATAAATCGAGGAATGGTCCAAATTGAAGGGAAAAAAAAATGAAAAAAAAAATTATGCGTCCTTTTCCACCGGCAAGTCATAATGACAATATAGATGATGCAATGCAGGGGTAAGGGTACTTAGTCCTTCCTCCTCAGGAAGCAATCAATGTAGCTGTCTCGGGATTCCTCAGCCATAACGGAGGAAAGCGTGGTGTGGGTCATTTATAATATGTAAAGGGATGCTGTACTTGCTTTTCAACTTTTTCACTGTTTTCAGTAACAATAAAGTTTCTCGTTGGGGAAGAAAAGTTAAAAAAAAACGTAAAATAAAAAACAACAGATAATGCGCTCAAGACTCGGGAGTCTCACACGCACCTCCTTCCATTATCATGGCCGAAGCAACCCCCCGATCAGCAGCGATTGGTCCTTGCTTACGGGGATGGACTGTCGGGTAGGCATTTCTGGGCCCTTTTTCCTTTCTTGAATCCCTCTCAACCTACTAGTATGCTTAGAGCGGCTGTCAGATTGGCATGAATCTCTGGGCCTCTGGAGACTGACCAGATTCTGGAACGTCTCTACACTTTTATGTCCGACTCTGTTGCTTTCTCTGTTGCTTTGCTGCACATCCTGACGTCATGGTCCGACTGTGTTGCCTGTGTTCACCTTCACATTGTGCAGGCTGTGGTGATCTCATGCTGCGGGTGATTTCATGGCCGCACAATTGCTGTCATCTCTACACTTTTATGTCCGACTCTGTGGCTTTCTCTGTTGCTTTGCTGTACATCCTGACGTCATGGTCCGACTGTGTTGCCTGTGTGTACCTTCACATTGTGCAGGCTGTGGTGATCTCATGCTGCGGGTGCTTTCATGGCCGCACAATTGCTGTCATTTCAATGAGCTGTGACAACGAGGCTACGGGGAACTTCGGCCCGATGCTTCCTGGGCTTGTGAAAGTGGATTATGGAGATGCATCGGCCCTGCAAAAGGCACTTGAGGGTAGGTGTTCCAGGAATTTCAAAGTGCTGTTGGTGCATAGTACCTGGTCCAAACAACCTGGCTGAGCTTATTGGTTCTCGCTTCTGACATCTCCAGCCCAGTCGTTTTCACAAACAGCCTTCTTTTTTGAGCGCACAGAACCGCTCGGCATTCAATAGAGATGCGGTTTGTTAGAGAATGCCAGAATGGTTTCTTCTCTCTCGAAAAACAGTCTGTTCAAGTGCTGGCCTGCCAGACATGGGCCATTGGCACAGCAGCATGGTCTATTGGATTTTTATTGAATTTTATTTTCTTTACAAAAGTGGATTTATTTTCTTTCCCAAACCTGGATGAAACTACGTGCCGGAGTCATACAGTTCTCCACCAAACTCGCTCAGTCCTCTCGAAAAAGGGTACTCTCTTAAACATGGTAACCGTCCAGATGTCCGGACCGGGTTTCAGACAGTCCGGTGTCCGGTGTCTGGTGTCCGGTGTCTGGTGTCCGGTGTCTGGACAATATGTCTGGATTGAGGCCTCTGGGGCAAAAATCAAAAAAAAAATTGGGGCGGCCCAGGACGTTTATTGGGTCCTGGCCGCCCCTAGAAAAATAATGGGTTGATTTTTCAATGTCGTTTCACCCCACCGGACAGGGCCTAGAGGTCCAGACACAAGACACTGCAGGTTTTTGGGGTGGCGGGTTTCGCACAGGCCCGAGCAATTTCAAA